GAAAAGGAGAGAAAGTTCTTTTTCTCCCTGGAGTAAATCGTCTATTAAATCCAAAAGAAATGGATGGGTCTATAGAACCAGGAATCCACAATACCAGCATTTTGCTATAATAGCCTCTTTCAAATACAGATTTCATCACAGTTTATGGACACTGAGCCTTACATACTCATGCAGCTCACACTGAATTTTTATTTACTCCCTTTTTACTGAGGACAACCAGGGCAGGGAATTTTTAAATGGTTACTTAAAGTTACAAAGATAGCATTTGAACCAGTAACCAGTCACTGGGCCAACAAGGAGAGAACATCCATGGTGGGTTGACAGGGGATTCACAGTTACTGTTTAATTTATTATTATTGTTGTTGTTTGTTTCTTTTTTTGAGACAAGGTCTCCCTATGTAGCCCAGGGTGGCCTCAAACTTGAAGCGATCCTCCTGCCTCAGCCTCCTGAATGCTGGGATTATGGGTGTGCTCCACCATGCCTGGCAGTTACTATTTTATGGAGCAGAAAGTGATCTCCAGGAAGTGACTAACTCAGAGGAAGGAATGAGGCAGGATCTCAGGAAAGGTCTTGGGACCTGGAGATCCTGATGTCCAGTACCTGGCATCTCTCATCGCCACACTGCTTCGGGCTTAGCTTTGCCCGAGTTCCCAGATGGACACAGTGGGATTGTGATTCACACCTACTAACTCTGGGTGCTTCTTGAAAGGTGAGTTGGGAGCTCAGAATGGAGTATTTTTGATGAGGGGGAGCAGTGGGTGAGCTATTAGTGAACAGAATGGCTGGCCAGTCACCAGCAGTCTTCAGCAATATCAAAGGGGAAAAGTTGGGCCAGGAATTTGGCTTAGTGGTTTCGCCACCTGCTGTACAAATAAGTGAAAGAACCTGAGTTCGATCCCTGGTACCAAAAAAAATAGGGGTGGAAAGTGACATCACTTTTCATTACTTTTCTCATTTACCATCTTGGTTCTATTTAAAAACCAAAAGAGAGGCTGTACCACCCTTGCCAGCACACAGGAGGTGAGCCTCGCAGGTGCCAGCACACATACCACCCCACCCCCACACCCCCCCATCAAAATGAGAAGACACGTAAGCAAGTCTCAAAACCAGACTTCCAGATCACCGACAGCAACCCGAAAGGGAAACGAGATGGAACACTCTGATACTCAACCACCCGGACTCCCTGAACTGGCAACAAAAGAGGATATGGAAAAAATGAAATCAGAAATAATTTCTCAGATAACAGCAGAGATTGTGCTCATAGTGCAAGACATGATTAACAAATCTAGAGAGGAGCT